ACTAGGTTAGAAATTATAATCCTTGTGCCTTACCCTCCCAGAGTGCTGGGATTAAAAGTGTGTACCATTGTTCTAACTAGAACAATTTTATTTATGGAAAAACTAAGTTCTCCCAGAAAGCTAATCAAGATAAAGTTTGAAAAACTGTGGCAGAGACTACCAACTGTTTTGCGTATCTTTTTTTTGTTGTTTTGTTTTTCCTTTTAGTAACAGAATTGCATACATTTAGCATGCACATAGCTAGCTTTGCTGCTCAGAAAGAAAATGTAACTAAAACTTAGACAATGATATAGCAGAGCTATGTGTGCAAACTTTGGACCATTTTTTCTTTTTTTTTTTTTTTTTGTCTTTTTCCTTTTTATCGGTACCGGGGATCGAACTCATGACTGCCTGCTTGCAAGGCAGGCACTTATGCTGCTGAGCTAAATCCCCAGCCCCTGAAATGATCATAAGTGGAACTGCTATATTACATAAATGTTTTAGAGGGAAATGGAAAAACATTATAGGTATGAAATAGACGTTATGAGATTAATTTGAATTTTAAAATATTATCTTATCAAGCATATTTCCAAATTTATTACTATCAGAATATCCAAACATAAACCAAGGTAGAATTCGTACAGTTAAATATCATGTGTCAATTATCTAGGTTCAAAATTACAAATATAATTATATATTCATAATGACATAAGTGATATTCCTACTCTCAAAAATCGAGAAGCATCATAATTTCAGAATCTTAAACTAATAAGACTAAAAAACATTAAAAAAAACTCCAGTCTTAAAAACCTCTTACAGACAAGGAAATCAAAGTACTAAAAGGAGAGATCTATTCAAATTAGTGACAAAAACTAAGGATCCATTTCTATTACATTATACTTCAAGCTAGTATTAAATACTGTTTAATTTATTTGCATCACTTGAAAATAATTCATAGAATATGATAAAACATTTTTCTCTACAAATTCAGACAGTTTATGCTTAAGCATTACCAGATGTCTTTTCTATCTAAAATTTGTTTCCAAGGGTAGAAATTACAAAACAGCTCTTCCATCTATCCCCTTAGTGTCTAAACTATAATATAAAATAAAGTAATTTTTCAAGCAAAATTTTTCAGAGAGAAAAAACTGCTCAGAGAAACAATCATATAGAATTTTACCATATTGGGTGGGGGGAGGCTGGGAATTTTACCATATTGTGATCTCCTTGGCTCTTCCTTGATAATGCTGAGACAAGGAACAAACACATAATGAATATTTTAATGAACTATTAACAGGAAAACAGAGTGTACAAATGTGTTCTTGGATTGAGTTTTAATACAAGTAAGTCCCAGCTGGCAACTGGACTACCAGCAGAAAATCCCCAAGATCCAGGGCACACCAAAATCTCAAGAAAAATAAAGATTAAAAATGCATGTTAGGATGGGGGATGTAGCTCAGTGACACAGCACTTGCCTGGCAAATGCAAGATCCTGAGTTTAATTCCTAGGACAGAAAAAAAGCATATTATTCTCCCAAGCTGTCTTTTTATTAGTGGCATGTAGGTTTTGCAATGTTTTACATGTTACCAAATAGGGTTTCAAAGCAACTTTATCTATCTATAAATTTTCTTTTAATTTAGAAACAAACAACAGATTTTAATGGCCTTATATATTATATTATACTATATTAATAATATATTAATATTACATAAATAATATAATATCATTATATTATTCATTATATTAATATTGGGTTTGAAGTGGTGATATAAGAGTACAGTAAGACTGTAGCAATATTAGGATGATCTTGTGAACACTTGAGATTAGCAAATATATCTATGAAGAAATATTTTATTTCTTTACTCAGATTAAGATTTATTACTTCTCTAAATTACTGCCATTTAGTGATTCATTCATTGGGTGAGCTGATAATTTATTCAGCAAATAGTCATTGATTCTGCACTAGATCATTGAGATACAGTAATAAACAAATAGATAAATCCCTGCACTTATTGAACTTACATTCCAGTAATGGAAATAAAACATAAACAAATAAAAATGTTAGGTAACACTAATACCATTAAAAAATATCCCAGTAATGGTTGGGGGTGTAGTTCAGTAGACAAGTACTTGTCTAGGATGCACAAAGACACCACCAAAATGAAATGAAATACTGAGCACAAATCTGCACAACATTTTCTTAGTTCTGGGCTGCTTTGTAACATTCACATGTGGCCCTAATTTTAAAAAACAAACAAACAAACAGGAAAACACAATAGCTGACAGAAATACAGATTTCCAAACTAAATTAATCAAACCTATTTGACACTATAACATAGTAGCTAAAACATTAAATCTAGAGCCAGACTACCTGAACTTGAATCTCAGTTCCATTGTTGACAAGCTGTGTGACCCTGGAGAATGTACTCAAATTCTCTATGCCTCAGTTTCCTCAACTGATAGCCTGTAGGGCCTAGTTCATAGGATTATAGTGAGAATTAAATGAACTAGTCTGTATAAAACATCTCCTATTAACCCAGATAGTAGTACTCCTATGTGTGAATTGTGTGATGGAAAGTTTTGATTGGCAAGGTGAGCAACAGTCTCAATGGAATAAAATTTCCCTGTCCATTAATTTGCTAGGGTTTGCCCTTTGTTATCCACTGGGGTTACAAGTCCCAATATTGGTATACCTAATTTGTGTCAGGTTCCTGAAAAAAGTAATTATTTGCTCTTTAAAAACCCATTGATACTCAAAGTACTAGAGTTATGTGGAGAAGAAGCAGGTAAGTGTTAGTATTTCACCTTTGCATATTTGCCTAGTATAATGTTCTTATCTTGAGAAAAGACATAGAAATTACACTGGTAAATCTTAATGATGTATAAGGAATAAGCATATGAATACATAGATCCATGTATCAGTGTAATAATTCTCAGAAGAGAGGGTAAACATAATAATGAAATATCAAAATGGAGGAAAATAAAGCAATAGTTGTTAGGTCAACAAAATTCTCATGGGCACATTTGGCAACAGTCAGAAGCCTTTTAATTTTTTAAAAGTTAATTAATTGATTATTTTGGAAAAAGAGCCATTTTCTGTAAATGTTAATAGAACTTCTTCAGGTTCCACTGTGAAACATGGCATTCCTTCTCTGAGAAAAAATAAAACAGTGAGGTAGTTCAGTCCTTAAAATTAGGCAACCATAACCAGATCCTTTCCCTGGTTTATCAATTCTATCTGCCAGGATGGATTACAGAATCTCAAAAACCCAGAAGTTACAAAAAGGAAAGTTAAGGAATCCAATATAGAGAAGATCTTATTAATTAATTCCACTTCTTCCTAAAGTTTTGAAAGACCAGACTAGGGCAACAGGGTAAGAATGAAAATCCTACACAGTTTTCAAGTTAAATTGGTCACACATGTTAACCTGTTATGTGCCATTGATTAAGGTACAATATTTATAAAAAATTAAATATCCTTTGTACTCTTTAGTAAAAATTAACATGTTATTTTCCCCAATCTAATACAATCTGCACTTAGTAATCACAAGAGCAAAATGCAAGTTTGGGTTACTCTTCAAGTCAAAACAAATTCAACTGCCCTTTAACTTCCTCATGGCATCCAAAACACCTCATGATTCATTCTCTGCTTATCTTTACTTGGATTTTTCATGCTTCAATAAAGTCATACTAAACAGTCTGCCTTTCCCTAAATAATCTAATTATTTCTTATTCCTTATTACCTGTAGAATAGAAGTTTCATCAAAAATGTACGCGGGTAAACATGTGGACATTAAGTCCAGTTAGAGACTTCATGTTTATCACTAGAAATTCCAAGGTGACATCATCCCCTTTCTGAAATCTGTGGCACAGTTTCCATGGACTCAGCTGGAAAAATGCTCCCTAGACAGCATTATAATCATTTGTTTACCTCTCTAATTTCTGAACTGGACTTCAAGATTCTCGAGTATAAGAAATACATATTTTTCATCTTTGTGTTCTTGCAATGTGTATCTGGTGAAGCAAGAAATGATGGGTCAAGGATAGGAAAAATATGAGGAAAAGATGAAAGTAGGGAGGCCTGCAGTTGTCTAGAAAGGTAGAATCTGAGATGGCCTAGCAATCATGATTTCCTTTGTGATAAAGTAATTGATGTATATAAATCTGTGCTATCAGCTGTTTCCCTCATTTAATGAATTAGTTAGGTTTGCCTTTCACATTGTCATCAGGCTTTTAGTGTGCTACATTGTTTGACAATTCTCATTTACTATGTTGCCCAAATATTTGATAACCCAGGCAGGCCCTAATTCCAACCTACACAGATGCTGCTTCCTACATACATTTTTAAAAAGAACTCATTAGTTGTGAACATTCTTTCTAATAAGGCTTTATGGGGTTTTATTGTGGTCAATATATATCACATTTAATTTTTTAAATATCATCTATGATATTTAATATGAGGCCAATTCCCTTTATACTGACCATTTGCTTCTATTTCCATGCACAGTATATTTTCCTTTTGCTCTCTCCTCTTACTCTAGAATAATGCCAAAAGGCAAAGACTGACTTTAAAAACATAAAAATATAAGCCTTCCTCTGAACTGTACCTTTCCTACATTCCTCTTACTTAAGGAAACATACTCATGTGAAACATCTCTCACTTCCATATAGCTGTCATACTTCACTAGACTAATACATTCTTAGCCCTAACAAAAACACAAACTCATGCTACCGAAACAGGCAGTCACCCAAACAAAGCAAGACATGGTGTTGTGTACTGTAAAGAGGCGTGGACTACAAATTAAGGAACTTGTGTTTTGGCCCTAGTACCACCACTGTTACTTCGGGCACACTCTTCCTTGTCTCAGGAGTTCAATTGCCTCATCAGTTAAGGAAGCTAGATGGCCTTGAACATCACATCAAGCTCTAATTACTCTCCAAAAATAACTTGAAATACATTTTACTTACTACATTTATCTTATACAATTTCATTATAAATTTTAAGAAAACTTAAACTTACCTTTCCAAATGTGTGTGGAATTCAGCCACTGCTTGTGAATTGTCACTACAAGCCCTGGGTCAGGCAAATGCTCTTATCACTGAGCTACACCTCCAGCCCCACTACAAGCCCTGTGTAAAGAGAACAATGTTGGTTAAAAGCAAGTCAACTTACAGGAAGAGAACTTTTAACCTGGAAACTTCCTGATGATATCTGTGGAAAGGAAATTGTTCAAACAAATACTGTTTTCTTTTGCAAAAAGTTTAAGGAAACAGAACTTGTGCAGACTGGCATAGCCTACACTATATTCCCTTCTTCCAAACAAAATGGGTAACATCATCTCTAATCATTACTGTGAGATAATAATTACTGAAAGAGTAAAGAAGGCTACTGAGCATATTATTCAGGGTGTCATGATATTATGTTGGAAAACAAAAGGAACTAGCTAAAGTTTAGAAATATTTAACAAAGGATGTGTGTGTGTGTGTGTGTGTGTGTGTGTGTGTTTGCTGTACAGGGAATAAAAGACAAGCCTTCACAATGAGCTACATCCACAACTCCTTCCCCTTTTACTATTTTTTTAAATTTCAGGACAAACTTTTACTAAGTCAGTAAATTGCCCAGGTTGGGCTTGAACTTGTGATCCTCTTGCCTCAGTCTCCCAGAGTGCTGTGAGATTGTATGTATGTACCACCACGCCCAACCTAATATATACATATATATATATATATATACATACTGTATAAGGATGTGATTCCAAAATAGCTGCTATGCCAAATCTAGTCCAACAGAAGAAACCTTAGTCTCACTAGCTCTTGCTGCTACACTCAAACAATCACAGTTAAGAATCCTATTTATAAACCTCTTTAGAGAAAATATTCCACAATTTCCCATAAATCTTTTCCCATGTTTCACAATCAAGATTCCTTTTTATATCTACCACAATCTCTTAAGACCCTTAAATTATTTAGTCATCTAAGAATAAAAAGAACAAGTACTGACTATATTCTGTATCTGAGTAATTGGTACATTTTAAGACAATTATTCAGTTTCCTTTTAGAATTCTCCTTTTCTGGGTCAATTAACACAACTTCTTCAACATTCTCCTCAGAGAGTATCTCATATTCTGATGTCTGGCCTGTATTTTTAAGGAGATGCTTCCTGTCAAAACTGGTAGTATTTGCATGGATTTAGCTTTTTCTTCCTACTTTTTTACTCTAAATTTGGTCTTTTGAATTTTGAGGGAGTCTATAGAACCTGATCTTTCTAAAGATTTTATCTTTCAGAATTATATTAATCCATATTGCTCAGATTATTCAAAAGACAGTTGCATTACCACAGCGTCAGCAAAATATAAATTAAAAAGTCCTGACTCCAGCTCACAGAAGAAAACAAGGGCAATGCAAATTTTAGCTGTGTGGTATCCTGCCTAGAGGCCAAGAAATTATTCAAGTGGTATTTCTCAGGAAACAAATGTTTAGACTCCTTGGAGGAAGCCAGAAAGCTGGAGCAGCTCTTGACTCCCCAATTCTTATGTCACCATGAAAATATTTGGCTGGGCAGTAGGTATTCATCCTCATTTCCAGTTCATTTCGGCTTGGAAAGTTAGATTCTTCAGAGAATGAGATGGTGCATCTCAAGATGCATTTTTATGGTGTGTCTTGTAATATATATTTGAACTTTTGGAATTTATGAAGGCATTGCCAACATAAAAGTTATCTTCTTGCATATTGCTCAATTTAAAAAGAATCATTGCCTCTCTCAGATTTCTATCTTCTGAGGTTTGGGAGGGAAGCGGATATGAAAATGAGAAGTATGCATGGCACAAAGAGCACCCTTACAGAAATGGCGAAGCTAATTCCATTAAACCATTAGGAATTTGTTCTTTGGGCCTAGAAAGTGATTCAGTCTGTAATAGACTTCTAGTACAATAAACATGGTTGCAGGAAAAATAATACTTTAGATATGCCCTCTAATTTGCCTATTAGAAGAAATAATTGATAAAATAACAAAGGGACAGTTCTTATAAGAAGGAAATCAGGTTAAGTATGAAGGAGGAAAAGAGCAAAAGTAGAATGATGGAGATGGGAAGAGGATGAATGAGAATAAAAGGCTACAGTTTGCCTATTTCATAAACTTAATTGGGTCCATCTGCAGATTGTCTGGTATATATATATATATATATATATATATATATATATATATGGCAGCCTCCTCATGCTGTTCTTATTTTCTTTTTCTTTTGCAGTACTGGAAAAAATTTTCTACTGTCCTATGTGCCCACACACACCCTCTCCCTTTGAAATTTTGAGGCAACGTCTTTGTTGTTGTTGTTGTGTTTTTTTTTTTTGTCTTTTTTGTTTTTACTGGTACCAGGGATCGAACTCACGACTGCCTGCTTGCAAGGCAGGCGCTTATGCCGCTGAGCTAAATCCCCAGCCTGAGGCAATGTCTTAATAAGTTGCCTAGTTGGCCTCAAACTTGCATTCCTCCTGATTTAGCCTCTCAAGTACCTGGGATCACAGGCATGGACCACCATGCCAAGATTATTTCTATTCTTTTACTTTGAATGCAAATCCAAGGTTGAGTTACCCAATTGAAAGATGTAGCAAATGAACATTTTAGAATCAGTGTGACATTTCTGGGCACAAATAAAGGAAGCAGCCCAATGTAGAAAGCCAAATTATAAGCAAGGAAAATGTGAAGTTTAGGCAAATAGATATTTTGTGTCTATTTTTCCCATTACAGGGAAAAATATCAGTTTTTCTTTTGGCATCAGTTTTTCTTCTCACTATAATGAACATCCAGATTAAAACTGTATCAGAAAAGTTTTAGATTAGGAGAAACTAGGAGATAGCCCAAGGCCAGAACATTAAAAACAAAAAAGCAGCCAATGAAACAGCCACAGAAAAGTAACATTTGGGAAGACTGACGTCAAAACCCTGTTCACTATACAATGTAAACATTAGTTAAACAAAGTGGAAATTGTCAGTGGAATATCAAAAGAACTGACTTGCTTTGAATTGGTGTGGCACTAATGCCTCAAAACTCCTGAGTATCCTAAACCTCTTGAATTTTACAGCTTTCAGATTTCTTATCCTACTTTCCTAGGAATATGTAAAATAGACATCTTTGTTTACATGTTCTGAAAAATTCTAATGAAAATAGATATCTCATTACCAATGTGTCTCTATTCTTGTTACCATACCGCACATACTATATTATTCTTGGAACTCAAAAATTGTCACCATAATTAAGGAAATATTCTTAAGAACTCAGAGTTTTCTGAGTGTTGTTTATTAGTACAAAGCCAGCTGTGTGTGCTGCTCTATGTCATATTGTTGGCTCATTTTCTCCCTTTGTTCATTATTTTTTTTCCTCTAGGGGATTTATTTCTAGAATCCATTGAAATTAGAGTTCAGTGGAAGTGGATATAATAAATAAAACAGCTTTTCTATAAAAACAAATTCAAGAAAAAGAAAATACTGGACTTATTCTTGTGGAGACTAGTATGACAAATCTGTGGTTTCTTTTTTAATTTTTTTTTTATTTTAAAGAGATTAAGACAAAAGAGGACATAGCAAAGCAGATCAGAACAATGTAAGCAACACAGTATTTCACCACAAGACAACCTGTAATTAACAATAATTACCATAATGGGCCTTTCTTTGAAATAGTTGAGCATATCTTCATATACAATAGTATCAAATGTAACAAAATAGTATAAAACCATTCAAGAAAATGAAAGTATTACAGGGCATTCAGAACCAAATAACTGAGAACGAACAATGGCTGTTATATTATCTCATTTTTCCATAGAAAATTTGTTTATACTATCACACATAATAAAATCCAATAAGATACAACATGATAGAACCAATGGAAACAGAAGAAATCTGTGGTTTCTAAGGAAATGTTTTTATCTAACCAACCATCTTAAACCCTTACGAATTAATCTATGGATTATTTTTTATTTGACTGAAAAATTAGATGTTCCAACTCAGTTTATAAAACATGTCAAAGAGTGGATATATAAAACTTGCCTAGAGTTTTAAATCAAAGTTGCTCATATGTTGCCAATTCAGTCTCAATGTGTAGCCCAGACTTGATAGTGAAACTCAGTTTATTAATTTTACTGATTTTGGGATCAGCTCTAGGGATTGGTGAAACACATTTCTGAGTTTGTATAGGTGGGTCATGGAAATGTGACCTTGGGAACTATAAATGGTTCCTGGCTTCTTTGTCTCTGGCACTGTTCCCTCTTCTGCTTCCTGGTTACCATGACAGAAAATGGCACCCCAGCTAGTATATTTCAGTTTCTTAGTTGTCCAGGTAATAGTTTCTGTTGCAGTTTCGGTTGTTTCTGTCTTCTAAAAACGGCTGGTCACTATGACACATATTGTAAGAACCAGTCCCCAGCTGACAAGCCATTGACCTCTATACTTCCTGCTTGCTTATCTCATATAAGCCCCAGACCACCAGAGATCAAGGTCTTCTATTCTGTGAATGATCTCGATCATTTCCCATTGATGTAAATAACTCTGCCTCCAAATTCTGAGTGTCATTTAGGTGTTTCTGCTCGCCATTACATCTGGTCAGGAAGAGTGACTGTGCTGACCTCTTTGGTCACCAGTCATGACCCTTAAAGAAGGAACAAGAACCTCTTCAGTTCCCAATGGGAAGGCACACTTTCAAGATTACACCTCAAGTATTCCAAGTATCACATGCCCATTTGTAGTTCAGTCACATAGCACTTGCCTAACATATACAAGGCTCGGTACCATCCAAAGCGTACACACACACACACACACACACACACACACACACACGAAATTGAAAAAAAATAATATAAATAATAAAGAAGATGTGAATAAAACACAATTTCTTTGATGAATTGAGCTTCCAAACTTTAAAAAATCCAAACGCATGCTTGATCATATCTGTTTCATCACAACCTAATCTTGTTAAATGATCACCTATGGAATAGTTTTGTCATTTTAATCAAATGACAAAAATTATTAGTAATCAGTCTTTTCCTACTTATCACTACTGTTATTACACTTTCTTTGATGAACAAAAATGCCATAGCAGGATAGGAACTATTTTTCTTGGCTTTATAGTGCCACATTTTATACATTATAGAATTTTTCCTACAGAAAAGCAATCATTGCATCAGTTATTGTTCATTTTAGAAACTATTTTAAATCTAAAGTTGCAACTCTAAAAAACTTTGTGTTATAGTTTAGAACCCTTGAAAGAATCTTTTTGTGATAAGAATTATTTTAGTCATTTTAAACTCCACGCTTTGGGAAATATTTTACTGTATAGGCAGGCTAGAGTTAAAGTACAGTTCATCTCTTTTCCAAAGTGCTCTCTTCAAGATTAGAATTTATCCATTTTCTAAATATCTACTCAAAATATATCCTCTCTTTCCATTTTTTCCTCTTCTTCCTGTAAATACTCTCTTAAAAGTATAAAATGTCTTTCTGACTTTGACACAGCTCTGTTTCACAAAATTGAAAAGCTTATTCCACATAAAAATTTTGCACAATTTAATGAAAAGTATTTCGTCTACAAATATATAGATCAACATGATTTATGCATCATGCCAAATACTGTAAATAAGAGTTCACAGAGTCTAACATTTCTTCACAGCCTTCATCATATAATACTGCATTGAACACTGGAATAGGTAGAAATGATTCAATTTATAACATTTCTAAAGTACTTGATAGTTTTGCATTTTTATATTTGATTTACTGAACATATCGATAGTAAGGAAATATTTTACAAATAGTGTCACAATATGTAAAAGGAAGCTCAAATTAGTTTG